CCCACAGGACTTGGCTAACCCTTTGTTGTACATGTAGTGGGGTGAGAAACAGGCTAGATAGCTATGTCAAAACTTCATAGTAAGGAATAGAATAAAGTAAATTAATATATATATATATATATATATTTAAAAAACCACATTTGCAAATATCTTTCTTTTTAACCCTTAGGATCTAGGGGTAGTGCAATCCCGAAGAGTGTAGAGAGTAGTAGTGGAAACAGGGCTCTTAGAGTGACTTAATTCAACCCCTATGGTCCATGATACAAAGATGGTATGTGACACCACCAATCCAAGTTATCCAAGTTGTCCTGAAATCACAGATCTATAGCTTTTCCTACTGTTTTGTAGAACTGAACTGTTGCTACCGGTGTACACATATCCTACAACTAAAGGTATAGACCAGCAGAAATTAAAACCAGAGAAGGATGTTGGAACTCTCTGATAGCAAAATGTGATTTCTTTTTCCCCTTGGAGTTTATCCAGTTCTCCAAAGTAAATACACCTCCTTTTTATTTTGCCTAGGGATTTTTTTTTTTTTTTTACTGGAAAGGGTGGAGAAGATTTGCGTAAGAAAGAAAGCTGAGTTGCCTCAAAATACAGCCTCCAGAAAGAATGAGACATCCCCTGCCCAACCTATTATTCATGCTGAGAAAAGTAAAATAGAGGAACTGAAAGTGAAGCCTAAAATTGCCAGGGCTGAAAGCTTGATAGAAATTAACTGGTCTATTGAATCAACCACTTCTTAGGTTCTTTAGAAAGGAAAAACCACAAGAAACAGATGTCTGATATAAAGCTGATAGGGAAGTTGTTTGTCTTCATCAATAGTGAAATTCAGATCATGGTAAATAGATAAATGTGAACTCCAAGTAGGCTAGGAATGACAAATACTTAACAGCACTAAGTCCAGTATACAGATTAAAACCCTGAGGAGTGGACAAGAGAAGTGTCTTGCTTCCGATAATATTAATATAATGAATTTACTGTCAGAACCAGAACTTAACCCAAAGTCCATCGCTTTTGAAACAATGTCTTTTCATGCATAATTTTTAAAGGCAAGAAGCATTTCTTTTCTATGGTTTTAGGGCAGAGTAAATTATTACAATCTGGGATTGTATTGCAGTATATCCCAGTATGGAACCAGAAGGAAAGGTGATGTGTTATACAATTAGCTTGAGTGAGTATTTATTTATTATCCATTCAGCAAAAGGGATTAGCTCAAAATCACATAGTTGAAACCTAGAGTCCAGGTTTCTGTTCTTGATTCTGGAGCTCTTTCTTTCTACTATTCCTTGTTGACAACTTCATCTATGATCATTTACTGTGGTAGAAGCCAAATAGAGGATGTGGTAGTAAGTAGGAAGGCCAAGGACTGAGATATAATTTTAATCAGACTATTGAAACATGAGACAATCCAGTGCTTTAAAAAGGAAGGTATTTAGTAGCCATGTTCAGAACTATAGACATTAATGAATAAAATGATAAAAGGGTACTAAAATTATTTAGAATCTATCATAAACTATTTACTGTTATAGGATTGGTTAGGGAATTTAAATGTTATAATATGGAATGATATTTTTTGATTTTAGAGATGAAAGTTCAAAAAAACTAAGTAAACACTCTACTATTCAAACACACGGTTTAATTTAAGTTAATTTAAGACTTTATCTTTCCAAAATAGACCAATCAACGGTGGTAGAGATGAGTGTGTTCATTTTAATGAATGATGTATAATAGCAATAAAGGGTAGTTAATTTTGTTCATGAGTATTTACTCTTAAATATTAACAAATATTTTAAATAATACTAGCTCCTGGTGCTGTTGTAATAAGGTGACCTCTGCTGTACATTGTTGGTCTAAACATAAACTAGAATAAGGTCTAGAAATCAATGTATCTATTGACCTTTAAATATTTTTTAATTTTAGTTAAATAAGTCAACTTATGTTAATGTATTTTAATAAATAGTGTAATACTTTTTGCTTTATGGTTATAGTGTTAAAAGAAAAGTAGAGCTAGGTACAGTGGCTCACACCTGTAATCCCAACACTTTGGGAAGCCAAGGTGGGAGAATTGATTGAGTCGAGGAGCTCAACACCAGCCTGGGCAACATCATAAGTCTCCTTTTCAAAAAACAATAAAAATTAAAAAAAGCATTAGCCAGCCAAGGTGATGTGTACCTGTAGTACCAGCTTCTTGGGAGGCTGACATAGGACAATTGCTTAAATTTAGGAGTTTGTGGTTGCAGTGAGCTATGATTAGGCCATTGCACTCCAGCCTTGGTGACAGAGCAAGACTCTATTTCTAAAAATAATTTGAAAAATTAAAAAGAAAAATGGAAGTAAATTGAATGTCCAATTAATGGGAAATGGCTACATTAATTACATTAATGAGACTGTACTCATGTTAGCAAGTTAATTTTAAAAATAGGCATATGTATCTGTATATACAGACATATATACATACATGAGAAAATATCTTTAATATTTAATATCATATGTACAGTTTGTAAAACACATACTTATACGTAATCTGTATTTCTGGAAGAGAATATACCAAAATTTTAATAATAGTTACCTTTAGTTTCTGGGATAAATGACCATATACTCTGTTTTTTATGTTTTCAACAATATATTTATAGTCTAAACAAACAATGCATATATTTAAGAAATCCTAAAAAAATAATTTTTGTACAATAAAGTAATGAGTTGTTATTTTAACATATATAATACTGAAAGGAAAAGTAACTTGGAAATATCTGACAAATATGTCAAAATCTTTATTAATAAGGAAAGCATTACTATTTCAATGGGGCAGGAATTGAGAGGAAGGCAAAGGATATTAATAGATCATTTAAAGAAGAAATGTAAAGGACAAATAAACATATTGAGACATATGTAATATCACTAGCTAGCAAGGGAATTCATACTATTAATAAAATAAAATATTTTTTCATGATAATCTTCAATGCTATGGTAGTTATAGAAATGTAATTTGGTGCAATCATTTTAGAAAATAACTTGATACTATAGCCATCAAGTAACTTAAGTCCATAATGTTTGACTCGGTACTTCCTGTTGTAGGAATACTTGACAAACAAAATGCTCATAATATTATGATAACTTAAAAATATTTTGTCGAGTATGATCTTACTTTTGTTTACATACATAAACACAGGAGGAAGACTATGAAAACTTAACAATAATTCTGAGTAGTGTGCTTATAGTTGACTTTTATTCATTTTTTTTGAATTTGTCATATTTTTCTTCTAAGTATCATACTATTTTTATAATCTAAAAAATTTTAAATAACATAATAGAAAACAATATGAGGAGAGATGATCTTTTCTCCATACATTTGTACATCTATTTACTAACTGTTTTGGTGCCCTTCAAAAATAAAACACTAAGTCCAAGGAAGAGGTAAAAATATTGTTGTTATAATCATAGAGTAGGATGTCTGGTGAATGAGCAGTAGGGCCACTATGGACATAGCATTGAAGGAGGGATAAGGGGGGTAGGGGTGGGGGAATACAGAGATGGGAGAAGAAGGAAATGTAAAGATGGAACCTAACCATACAGCACAGTGCTTATGTGGATTCTGGAGTCAAAATGCACAGATTCTGATCTCAATTCCATCATTTCGTATCTATCTACATCTCAGTGTCTTCATATGTAAAATAGCAATGATCAAAGTGTCTAAACTGTGATTTTTTAATGAGAATTATAAATGAGTTTGATATATGTAAAGTATCATGGAAGAGTACCTGACTCATAAAAAAATACAAAGAAAGACAATGTAAACCCTCTCCACCATTTTACCTTTTACTTGGACATTTATACAAATAAAACACTATATCTTGAGTGTAACTGTAGGACAGAACTCAACTCTATACCCATAAGGCTTACCCATTTTTCAGAGCCTAGCTGGTGACCCTAAGATGGATGTTATTTAATATCTTGCTTTGGAATTTAACTTTAGACTAAAGAGAAAATTGATTTGGGGAACTAATTTAGTGGCTCAGAAGCTTCTACAAATGCTAATTCGTGTCACCTATTTGAGGCAGGAGGGGAAGGAAATCACTTCACTCAAAGCATAGAGCTTTGAAAGTTACTCAGTGTGTTCTGTTGGTCATCCTTTAACTTAGTGGTAGCTGACATTAAAAAGATCTATTTAATTTTGTCCTGCAGCAGCTGGGAAAGCCCCAACATTTCTTAGCTTTCACACAGGTTCTAAAAACCCCAACCTTTTTTGACTATTATAGGTTTATTATGCCAACAACTTTCCCTTTTGACAAATAATTATTGAAGGTTTGAGATACTGAGCTTGACTTGAAAGCACGATTTTTTCTCTATTTTATTTTAATTAGATACTGTACTGTGATTCTTACAGATAAGGCATCGTTGTGAGATACATATCTGTCTCATAATAAATACTTTGGGAAAAGAATCTCTTGTTCAACTTTCTGGTTCTTTCCTATAGAATGATAGAACTGTTTAATTACGCTTGTATTTATTAAGCTTCTAGAAGACTAAATGTGGTGTGATGAACAGAAATGGACTTTGACTTCAATAATTCATAACCAAAGTGGGGGGAGAGACAGTTAAGTACACAACTTTTTCCACTGAAGGATAGAATTTTACTACTGCTTTTATATATATTCATATAAAATAAGAGAAGATTTAAATTCAGGTAGGGGATTGGAGAAATCCTCATGAAGGTAACATTTAAAGAATCTGAGGCCAGGTGCAGTGGCTCACACCTGTAATCCTTGCACTCTGGGAGGCTGAGGTGGGAGGATTGCTTGAGGTCAGGAGTTTGAGACCAGCCTAAGCAACAGCAAAACCCTATTTCTACTAAAAATAGAAAAAATTAGCAGGGCATGGTGGCACGTGACTGTAGTCCCAGCTACTTGGGAGGCTCAGGCAGGAGGATCACTTGAGCCCTAGAGTTTGAGGTTGCAGTGAGCTGGGCTGATACCACAACACTCTATCCTGGGCAACAGAGTGAGACTTTGTCTCAAAAAAAAAAAAAAAAAAGAATCTGAAAATGGCAGTTATCAGGTAAAGAGAATGAAGGCATTCCAAACTAAGGGACCAGATTGAGCAAAGAGACAGAAATGGTCTGCTGGGGGCAGCATATAGAAAGAAAAGTGAGTGGATTATAAGGAAGTTGAAGCTGAAAGGGTAGTTTGGGGCCAGATTTCGAAGGGCCTGTCTAAATAGTTGGTTTGGTCCCATTGGCATTGGGGCACCCGGAGGAGTGACATCAGAATCTATAGGACAGATGAAGTGATGGTGAGGAAACTCTAGGGAAGGAGGGGAGAAGGTAGAGCCATTGGTGTATATTCTTTTTTCTTTCTCAATCAGATAGATTTTTGGCTAAAACATAGAAGAACTGATAAACAGTTTGCCCTGCATATCTGCTGGGTTTGCATTCATAGATCAGGCCAACCATGAATTGAAAATATTCAGAAAAAATAAAAAATAACAATACAACAATAAAAATAATACAAATAAAATACTGTTTAACTATTTCATAGTATTTACATTATATTAGGTATTATTAATATAACTAACATAGACATTACTTAAAGTATGTTGGAGGATGTGCATAGGTTATATACAAATCCTATGCCATTTTTCATAAGGGACTTGAGCATTAATGGATTTTGGTAGCCATGGGGATCCTACAACCAGTCCCCCCATGGATAACTGAGAGACAACTGTTTTTAGAACCAGCTACACATTTCTTCTTAAAGGCTCAACTGTTTTTATAGCTAAAAACAAGACATCAATCTTTTGTTTCCCTTAATAAATAGCTACCTAATCCTAGCCAAATCTATCCAAACCCTTGGCATTTTCTAACCTCACTTCACTCTCAGTTCCATGGAAATAAAATCTTCTCTTGGAACCCATTATCTCTGTTACTCAGCTTCAGGAAACCTAAGCATTTCTCTTCATCTAAACCTGCCTTCACCCATTGGATGCAAACATAGATCCAAGAGCACAGAATTACATCAATTTCTTAATTTCTAGAATTTTATAGGCACTGTGTGTTGTTCCCTACCCAACTCCACATAGCAAGGATGAAGATCTTCAAACAAATATTTTCTGTGTGTCAAGGGTTTATATACCTGTTTAACTTTCTCACATAGAGATATAAAATCGAGCCATTGACATTTGGTTTGCCATTCCAAATCTAAGAAAAATATATACTCAATAAATGATGAAGATCAATTATTTATTTTTGTGGGTATGAATAGATCTACCTTTGTTCCTCACACAAATATAAATTCTGGAAAGTTAAAATATTTTCATATGATTCAATTCAAAAACCATGATATGATATTGTAATATGTTTGCAGAATTTTATAATATTGGGCTGGGAAAAGCCTTTCAAACAATGTTTGAAAAACAATGTCATATGGGAGAAAATGGTAAATTTGACTATAGAAAAAAATTATAATTTTTCTACACCAAAAAGCACATCATAATACCATATGCAAATATGAAAGACCAGACACACATATCTACACACAAAAAAACAAATACACATACAAACACATATGTGAAAAAATATTTACAACACTTAAGAAAAAGAGTTGAATAACTGTCAAAAAAGGATAGTCAATAAAATGTTAATGTTTTATTATTTCTGGAAAGCATATATGTTGATCCCATGTCTTAGATTTATATTCCCAAAGCTGTGGATTTACAGCAGTGGCATTTTCATCCGGCGGCAGTGCTGACCCCTAATTCTGAGGCCATGAAGCTTTAAGTAGTCTGGGGAAGTGCCTGAGAATGGAAGGGCATGTGTTCTGAAGAGAGTTGTTCTAACTCCTGAGGGCTTGGGACACACACTTAAAATCCTTGAATATGGTTATTTATCTGTAAAATGTAGATAATAATACCTACATCACTAATTTGTTAAGAAAATCAGTGTACATTACTAAACATTGAGACCCCTGTGTAAGCTTTGTTCCATGGTTAACTGCAGAGAATTGTTACTTCTTTGTTTAAATCAATGCATTTTTATATCAGATACTTACACTAATTCTGAAATCAAACATTATATGATGTACTTAAATTAGCTATTTTATGGAAATCTTTGCACTAAATTCAAATGTATATGGACTATTAGCTAATTTTTCATTGTGAGGATATCTTAAAGCAAAAGACATGAATTTTTTTTCCCTTCAATGAATTGTTGTCTTTTCTTTGTCATTTAAGTATCTTAAGTATCTATGCAACTTGGCTGCTTCGATTGTACAATACGGAGATGAGCAAATGGAGGAACAAATAGCCAAGTAAAATAAGAGAAACATGAGTAATCCTGTAACTCACTTCTCTGAATTCTGGACAGAGACTCTTATCTTTGTAATGGTCTTTAGAAATCATTTAGTTCTGCTCCTCATTTCACAAATGAGGAATCTGAATCCTGAGTGGTTAAGTAACTTGCCCCAAGGGCACAGAGCTGGTTAAAAGCAGAGCTGGCAACAGGGCCCATATCTCTTAACTCCCAGTCCAGTGTTCTTCCTCCTCAACTACTTGAAGTTCTCAAGCAGCTGTGGTGGATATATGGTTCTAGATTTTGCCCGGAATCTTTGCAGATATGTTAGAGACCATTCTCAGATTTGATTGTGCTAAAGGTTGAAGTGGTACACAGAAGGATTTTGACTTTTTCATCCATCAAATCCTGCTGGGAATCTTTTGACTTTTATGAACAATGAAGTTTGTTTACATTTTGAGTGTGTATCATCAACACTTGAGACTGTGAGCCCTAGATTTAGGTGTTCAAATGGTTACATTATCCCATTAGTGTAAAAAGCAATCCAATAATGACTTTCTGGGGCAGTTGTGCTAATAGCATTTCCTCTAGCATTGATTCCCAAGCGTGACTCATTCAGAACTGCCGAGCAGGCTGTATGAAATCCACTTGGGGCTGCAGCCGTGGAGAGACTGATTCAGTAGATCTGGGGCCAGGTCCAGAAATCTGTTTTTAAAAAACACCCAGGATGATTCTCAGCGTTATCCAAGCTTTTGCACCACAGGAATAGAGCACAGCTTTAAGGAGCAACCATCTGCTTTCCACTATTGACCCTTAAGCTGTCAGTGGGTGTAGAATTTAAATGCACGGTACAAGTAATTATACTGCGTTTCTTTTTTGCCTTGTAGCCAGTGATCATTTGGTTAATTACAGGTAGTAAGAGAGGTCATGCTTCCCAATATTTTAGTGAAGAAACAAATGTTTTATCTGATGTAAATTCTAGTGTTGCAGAGTATTGTCATATTCTTGGATACTTGAGACCAGATTATATTATGGGAGATTTTTCTTATAAACCAGAAGGCATTATTACCAGTAATTCAGGGGCCTTAAAATAAATATCAGCTAATCATCACATCATCCTTTTATGGATGCATGCATTTTATGGATACCAAAGTAGAAGTAAAGAGAAAGCAAATCCAAGGTCATGAACATATTTGCAAATTATTTCTGAAATTTATGTATTAATCTATTCTGGCTTCTAATCTTTTTGTCTTCTACATTTTATAACAAATCTAAATCTAGCTGAATTACTAATACTCAGTAGTAGGAAGAGAATATTTTTAGTGAATTATATAATAACCATAGGGCACATTTATCTTTACTAAATCATGGTAACTGAAGCTAGATTCTACATGAATGTTCTTATGTATTTATGTAAACATATTTTAAGGCTACATCTCTAGGCTCAACTTGAAAAAATTAATGTATTTTAAGGCAAAAGCTAATTGATCTGTCTTGCTTTAAGATTTATTCTATTAATCATTTAAATGGAAGCATCATGTAAAATAATCATTTTTATTACCTATTAATAAGAAAGGATATTCTTTGTGAGCACTAATAAAAACCAGGTAAAAAAAAAGAGAAAAGAAATATTCAAATAGATAATCCTTTTTGTTAAAGGGCACATTTCTCAGGATTTCTTTTTCCTATACATAATATGGATATTTATTTGTTTTTGCAAGTTAACGGGACCAGTTGTTTAAATTGTTATTGAAACAAGCTCTGAAAAATCAATTGGCTTATGTTGACATTGCTTGATGTGAAACTGCTGGCATTTCTCTGGGGAAAAAAAGTTGAAAACTTTTCAGCTATCAAGCAGTGGATTTTAATTTTTATATTGATGAAATATAACAATGGATTTGAGTATTTTCCCCTATTTTCTAACTTTGTGTAATCATTCTTGAAACCTCGAATCTAGTTTTTTGTTTTTTTTTTAAAAGCCTACCAGAACTTTTCCTGAAGTTTTACTTTTCAGGTGCAAAAGAGTAAAATAACTTTCTGAAATGCCTTCTGTAAGTCGTGGTGGTGGTGGTGGTACGGTTTGTTTGGGGAGATTTTGTTTTGTTTTTAAAAGAGAGTGCGCTTTCTTATGAAAGAGACAGGGAAAGTTTTACCTGTCTGTCTCCTGTTGTTTTTTTTTCTTTCTTTCTTTCTTTTTCTTTTAAAGATTGGTGATAAGGAATTCTAACTACTTAATGAGATGGGAGAGGCCTCACTCCATTGGAGTGGAGGAGTCCAGGTGGAAGTTGATGGATTGGACAGGTAAAGAGAAGAGTCCCGCCCCCTCATGCCTATAGTTGGGTATATATTAGGAAACCTTAAATTATGTACAGAGAGAGAAAGACAGAGAGGGACTTGAGTTCTGTTATCTTCTTAGTAGATTCATATTGTAAGGGTCTCTGAGGGGGTGGGGGGGTTGGCAAAATCCTGGAGCCAGAAGAGAGGACAGCAGCATTGATCAATCTTACAGCTAACATGTTGTACCTGGAAAACAATGCCCAGACTCAATTTAGTGAGGTAAGGATTTTAGATTTTAGCACTCCATTTAGAGATGCTTTTTGATTTTGATTTTTTAAATAAAAACTTAACATATTTGTGGTTCTCGGTCACCCAACGTAATGTTTTTGCAACTTGTATATAAGAATCTCCTTTTCTTGGTTAATGTTTTCTGTGGTGGCTGTAAGATTTTTTTTTTTTTAAGTAGGAGATAAAACAGTAGGAGAAAATGAAAAAGAAAAATTTCTGGGTGACATTATATATTTGAAGAAACCCACTGTTCAGGAGTTTATAAAATCACTTTTTATAAGAACAAACTGAGAAAGCGGATCACATTCTGCTAAATACATTGAAATGACTACTCTGGTGGGTATTCCTGTACCAGTGAGACAAATTAGTTGACTGTATCTTAACTTCTTAGCTCAGTTATATCTTCAGACTTCATCCTAAAAGCAAATGAAGCTTTTTTCAAAATAATCAGGTGAGATTTTTTTTAAAGCCATCTTTGTTTTTAATTATATCAATCCAGAAACCCAACTTAATCCAGAGGGGACTGTAATAATGTCACTATCATCTGGTGATTGACTTATACTTTCACTGTGTAATGACAAATAAAGTTACATTGGAGCGATGCATTATTAAATATTTATACATGCATACATATAAATATGTGTTACAGCATACAGGATTTTATGTAAGGATTGATGACTTGCCTTTCTGATCTCTTCTTAACAATTTTGTCTTAGGGACTTAAATCACCCGGCAAAGGGATAAGGAAAAAAAAAAAAAAAACTCCTGAAGAGACTGTAAGGCTTTGAGGAAGTTTCCTAAGGTTGAGGGAGGTCTAACAACAATATTAGTTTACATTCCTCAGAATAGGGCAGCTGTGTTGACACTAATCAGATTGGGGGGTGGGTGTTGTAGAGAGAGTTCAGTGTTTCAGATGAAAATGCTTGTAGGTGAGTGTTTAGAAAAGTAGACTTGAGTACTCAAATTCAGCTCCTTTAAAAATCAAAACAAAATGCATAGTATTTGGGTGCAGACCGCAAAAGGACGAGTCGAGCAAAGGGCAACAAAGCAGGACCTGCGCTATCGTATTGACCATGCTATTGTCTAGACTCCTGAACTGTGTAAATATAGCAGGGGAAATATCAAGTTATCTAAAGAAGGAAAAGGAAGTGCCTATTTTTCTTTAAAACATTCAGGCAGGCTTGCTTGTCCTCAGTAGAGAAACTTGAGTTTCTTGTTTTGCTTTAATAATGAAAGTTAGCTTAAAATGTTACCAAACAATTTTTTTTAAAAAAGGAGATAACGTTTATGATTATCTTGTTGATTCTGTTTGATCCGATTTTGTACAGTTTCAATCATTAAGAAAATGATCTGTCTGTCATATCATATCTGACTTTGTCGTTATTCATGAGCTATTTCACACATGGTATTTATAAGCAGTATAGGATCTATGTGTGTCTAAGTATAAAAGGGGAGAAGCAAAAGGTAATTCAGAGATATGTATAAGAAAAGTACAAGGTTGGTGAAAAATGGCAAGAAATGATTATTTTCAAGTTACACATGAAAGAAAAATATTGCATAAGTGCTGTGATTAGACGGTATTTGTAGGAATTATTGCCTTTTACGGTGGCAAAAGAGTCATGTCGTATCTGAGAATATGGTATCCTTATGATTAAAGAAAATGCCTTTGCATGGGTTTGAGTTTTTCAAACTTCAGGTAAATGTGTGGTCAGTAGCTCAAAAGGCAGTACTTGTCTTTTTTCTGTTGGAATGCTGCTAAGGTATATGGAAAATATCTATGAAAAAACATGGCTGAACTTCGCTACTTTCCTGCATCTTTTTGAACATTGCCTTCATGATTTCATATTCTTCTGCCAGTGTATGTACTATGTGATAATTTCATGGCTTGATTTCCATTCTATTACTTAAGAATAACTTTCTTTTCTGTATAAGGTAATGCTTTAATATTTAGTCCTCTGTAAAAATACAGTTCTACCTCTGACTATCTCTGCCTGGAACCACATGGCTCTGAGAATCCTGAAATTTAATACAAAAGTTATAACATTTTTGGATTCACGCTTGTGAGTAACTAACACAGAAATAGCAATCTACTATAATCACACAAGAATTGTTTAAAAAATTAGGCAGATTAAGAATATAAGTGGCATACAACTTATATTGAGAGTGAGAGTGAAAATTATTTAAAAACTATGACCCATTCTCTGACTTCAAATAATTTTGCAATAATTTCTTTGTATTGGTAAATTAAAAGCAGTAGAAGAAAACTATTTTTTTCTCTACTTCCTTTTCCACAACTTTCTACTTCTTCCCTACCCCCAGGCCCTCAGCAGAGCTGGATTTGGGGAAGCCCTTAATGAACAGGAAGGGGTCCGGAAGGGAGGAGAACATGGGCAGGATGTAACAGGCAAGCTTAAAGATTCTACCCTTGGGTCACAATGGAGAGTCCTCAAGCAAGCTCCACTCCCCAGTGCCAGGCTTGGAATGACACAGCCTCTGGGACTGGTCTCAGACTTGGAAATAGAAGACTCAAAAGAGAGGAACTTCTTCACAGATTAAGTTTTAGTCCAGCGTTCTTACCAGATAAACTGGACTTGATTTATGTGTGTGCATGTATGTGTGTACGTGCGTGTGTGTGCATGTGTGCGTGTGCGTGTGTGTGTGTGTGTGTGTGTATGTGTGTGTGTGTGTGTGGTGTGTTGGGGGGTATCTCAAACTCCTTAGAAAGAGAGCTTTACTATAATTCACCATCTGGGATTTTGGATGAAGAAGAAAAGATACTTTGGTAAATGGAATATAGTATTTTAGAACAAAATGAGAATTCAAAGTTTATACCCCAAAACCTCATTTTATAAATCAGGGTTAATGATTTTTGCATTCTGTGGTTAAGAGAATATGATTGAAATCCCTTTACTTAACTTTTTTCTTTCTAAGAACAAGGAAATAGAGAATGCACTCTAAAAAGAGGGTTTATGTGATTCGTGGTAGATTCTCCCAAAAAAGCTTCCATGAAGGGCTGTTGTGCAAAGCTAGTTGAATGCAAGAATAAAAGTGCTGAGGTGGCAGTTTAAGTTCCATGGAGTCCAGGTCATTGTCATTTAGTTGACCTCTTTGCCTACCTGGTCAAGAAAAATAGTCTGTCCTATCCCAGTACTACTTTTACTGACTGAACGTTTAAAAAAATGTAGGAATGATTTTTCTTTTCATAGTTAATTAATGTATCATCTTAAGCTTTCTCCTGTTGTTGTTCTGAGATGTTTGGCATCACAGGAGAAAGCACATGGGTAAGAAGCAGAAGCTGCAGGTTTAATTCAGGTGTCAGCCAGACCATATTCCTCACTCCGTGCTGTGGCCTTCGATTGCACTACTTGTTTTACAATTGGGTGTCCTCAAGCCCAGAGGGAACTGGGAAAAAGAGATCTTAGATCATAGGTCATGGATCATACCTTCCTTTACTACTAATGATGAAAAAAATGATTTGGTGATAACAAATCACTTACCATTTACCTAGATAAGGAAAAGCATGTTTGTTTTGTTTGTTTGTTTTTTGTTTTTTTTGGTTTTTTTTTGCTTTTTAGAGGAGCAGTGATCCTCAGCAAGAGCATGGGGAGTATAGCAGGAAGCATGAATGGATGTCTGGGTTATCTACAGCAACTAAATAAATATTGGTTGCTTTTTCATCATCCATACTGCATACATTTTCTGAATGCAGATGGCTAAAATTTTCTTAGATGATGCATATATACAGAGTTTAGATTCTGTATTCTGCCTAAAGACTATTTACGTTTGAAGTCATGAGATTTTAGGTTTATCAAGGAGGGATTTGGGATCAAACAATTAAGAAATATGTTACCACAAATGCACCCCAGCTTTGTTTGATGTGCATGTGATTGTTTTGGGGAGACCTGAGGTGGTAGAACAGAAGGGGCTAGGTAAAAATCCTTCCTTTTTAGTACAATTATCAAATTAAACTTTTTCTTGTCTGTTTACTTTTTAACTACTAATTGTTTTATGTCAATAAATAGAGTGAACACAGATAACAAAGAGCTATCTAGTGAAAAACAGCTTGATTATTTCCATAATTTCCATAAAAGTTTTATTATTTTGAAGATGAAATATTTTCCAATTTTCTTTTCACATATAATAGGAAAAAGGTCAGATGACTGTTATAGTGTTACTGTCCAGTGCCTATTTATTGGAGTCTATGAATGGTATCCACCATACACTTAGGGTCTGGAAGAGAATGGTTTGAAGTGTCAAGGTGAAATATTCGATCCAAAAGTTAAGCTTTAAACCTTATTCCTAATCTTATCTTAAGAACACAATTTGGAGGCCCAAGAAAATAGTAAAACATGGCTTATTAATATTCCACATCTCTAAAAATTTTTATAATTTTTACTTATACTTTTTGGTTGAGTTGTACTGTATTCGATATTCTTGAAAAGTAATATTGAGGAGGAGAAACTTAAACTAGAAGGAATGACTTTTTTCTAAATAAATGTTTACTGAGCATCAGTTATATATAAGATGGTACATAGGATCTAAAAATGAAAAAGTTCTTACACAAAGAAGCTTATAGTTCATCGGAGAATGAGCCAGATATATATCTATATCTATTTATCTATCTCTCTATATATATAGTTATAATACAGAGCAGATCTTAAGTGCCACGTGAAAAGTGTGGACGAGACATAGAGTGTCACAGAGAAAGAGAGTCCCTTGAAGTAGGAGGATCAAGAAAGTCTGTGTATATAAAAGATGTGGCTGACTTGGAAGGACAGATAGAACTTTCTAAGTCCTAGAAATATAAGGAAGAAGGAGGAAGTCAGGTGAAGAAATAATCATCAGCAAAGGCAAGGAGTGGTGGGGGCGAATGCCGGTGCACTCAGAAACATCAGATAGTTCAGATGGAATTGAAATTATGAGATAGTTAGGAAATAAAGTTAGGAATGGCTCAGAGGGCCATAACACTGAGAGGAGAAGGTGTTGTTGTA